AAATGCTATCGCAAAACGGTTGGAAATAATAAATGTAACAGCAGAATACGTCCTAGCACAGTCACTCTACTAGGAGAGAGTAACTGTGGTCCTAGTACTAAACTAAGTGACTTCTAAAGACTGAATGGTGTTTGCGAACTTCGTATTAGTTATAAACCGACGTCAGCTTCACGTTTATGTCACCATGGAAACAGCCAAAAAAACATGTTGCTTGTTTTTGAGCGGAGCGGATCGCCAACCAGCCTACCGGCTTGTTTGCCATGTTAGCCAAACTTACGCCATTTACTTGGTGAAACACGCCAATTTGCAACACATAGTTTTTGGAGTATTTGAAGGTTTCATAAAGTTTTTATAAACATTTTTGACTATTGAATATGATATGATTGAAAGATTTCCAGAGTCAATTAATGTTTTGTTTTTAGTTCCAATTTATATGTTAATTTGGGAGGCACATTTTAAAATCCTTATGAAACGGAAGTCGCGCAACCCACGTGCGTATAATTTGCACATGTTCGATAGAATTATATCTAATTCGGTAACATTTTGTAATTATAGATGAAGATCTTTCTACCTGGGCTAAGGAATAGCTCAAACCTTGTTAGGCTATCTGTAATTAACTAATGTGTATTCCTTCGAGTCGAACCTGGTATTTCTAAATTTCATAGTCATAAGAATAGACTTCTTGGTCCAGCAATTAGCATATTTGTCTTGCATACTGAGCTCGTGAGTTTGAATGTCTGCAGCTGCAGTTTTTCACTTTTTCTTTCCTTTATTTCAACATTCCAAGTTTGGGTGCTTAAGCAATAAGCTACACTAGCGGAATCTTGTAAATTTCCTCTATGATATGAATATCGATGTCGTATGCCCCTGTTGGTTCTGTTGTTACCAAGGATCTGAACATTATTCCATGTGATAATCTCCCAAAAATAATTGACGGAAGTTCAAAGAACCTATATATTATCTAGAGTCGCAATTCCAAATTTGCTATGGACTCGGTTGAGGGATATGTCAGACAGTGGCCTAAAAGAGAGTATGTGGGTGATATTTTATCAGAGTGGGTGAAGGCTATCATAAGTAAAGTATGTTGGCAAATCCAAAGACTTGAGTCACGCATCAGCAGATGATCACATTCTATATTTAAAGATGCATTCAATTGTCTGATCTCTATTATGTTGTTGTATGTTGTCCCCAACGAACGGGCCTTCCATTTATATAGTCATACTATTACGAGTACCTTATTAAAAAGTCATTCATGAATTATATAAACGTTTCTATCAAGCAAAGAAAGACTATAAATGTATAAATTATATATGGATATTGAAAATATTTTGAAAAGCTTTAAAATGTGACTTCCATTTACACTTTTTTCTACCTTGTATACAACTATATCACAAGATAACTTATACTTAAGCACATTATCCATCCTGCATCTTTCAATTAAAATTGTTCTAGTCACTCCAAATACATAATAAGTTTTACGTTTATACTTACTTGAAAAAGGCTGACGCCAAACCTTTCTACATTAAAGATGACATTATCAGTAAATTGGTATTTCAGGTTGACAACATATTTCTCGAGTTCGAAGGATATACATACTTCAACAAAGCACCAACATTCCTATGTGCTACCTTGATGGGAAAAGCGGAATTTCTGTAGAATTTAGTTAAAAACAAACAGTACAAAGAAGACAAATCCCTTTATATTCAGGTATATTGATTATCTACTTTCCTTCAACATTCCTAAATTTAGTGTTTATATTGCAAAGATATATCCGGTTGACTTTGCGATAAAGGAGTCTACAGAATCTGATTATTCTGCTTCATACTTCATACATCATATAGATCTGTGCCTTGAATTGGATTCTAAGGATGTGCTGTCATTGTTTTATTTTTACTAAACTATTTAAAGATTTTGTAGAGAACTGCTAACCATAACATTTAAAAGTTTGTTGGTAGATACAATGATTGTAATAGTGGTTAAAAACAAATAACACTTTTACACAGATGATAGACGTCAAGTTTTAAACAGAAACTACTTAATAATGACTTAATGATTTGACTATGTATTGTAGTTTTTGTTTTGTTCAAACATCCAAATAGCACCCCGACGAAATTAAAAAAAAATATTGGACAAACATTTTCTTGTCACTACCTTAATCTCAACATCCCTCGTAGAATATATAACGTGTTGAAACAATTTTGAAAATTACATGATTGTACTCATTCTCGAATAGTTTGGCCAGTATTAAATGTTGGACATTTCCACTCCCAGTCAACGATACACACTTAAATTACCTGGGGTTATCAAATTAAAATGAGGATTATCCGTATATGATTTCAGTGTTACTATAGCATAATCGCGAAATCGGAGCAAACAGAAACATTGTGTCAAACAAAACGTTGCGTGTATTTTTTAAATATGCAATAGCTTGT